GAGTTGTGCATAGTTCATTTCATTAATTCTAAAAACTAAATGTAAACTATTTGTCAAATTAGTCACTTTCTCTAAGTAATCCTCAAGCACCCAAAATTCGTTATGGAAAAAATAGGGCATTTGCAGTTTTTTCGTTTTGTCATACTCCAAAGGAATAACTCTTGAAACTTTTGTTGGGTCCACAATTTGACGCATCACCGAGATCTCAAAAAACGGAACGTACATAGTCTCAGACTTCAACGTGTCATCTTTTGACTTTTGAAAATGATTGGCGTGGGAGATTGAAGTCAACAAATTTGAGGTGAAATTTTGAGTTTTGTTGAAAAAAGAAGTCAGTGGCGTAACTGAGAACGTGAAATATACGGAAACATTCCGCTTGATTAAATTGACATAATATGAGGGAATAGTTATATTTTGGTTAAACCCGTTCCTGAATGCACGCAGACGAATGTATTTATTCATTACTTGATCCGATGCAAAATGACCAGGAACTGAAAATTTTTCTGAATGATTTGTGTGTTGTGAATTATCACTTTTTTCAAATTTTTCGAGATTTGTCCAAACCGTTCCGTTCATCTCAAAAACGTCTGTCTCATCATACGGCAATTTAAAGTTGTTTGTTGATGGGATTATCGCGATCCCAGTGATGTATATTCCGTACAAAACGAAGATTATGAAAAAAGAAAGAATGAGAGGATGTTTAATCACTTCTTCTTCATTTTTCATTGTGATTTTTTTGAGTTATTTTTGTTCAATTTTTTATTAATTTTTTTATTATTTTTTTTAATATGGTTGAATTTATTTTCATTATTTTTTATCAAATCATTTTATAGTATATTTATACTATTTTTTACTAAACATTATTTTTACCAAATTATTACTTTTACCGGATACCAATTTATAATTATCATTTAAATACCCAATAATTCTTTACCGCTAAAACAACTCCTTTTTATCGGTAATAAACTTGATCTGCCTTTTTATTTTATTCGAAAAAACACCGTTAAAATCGCATCAAAAAGAAGATCGTACGAATAACATTTTTACTCAAATGACCTTAAAAATTTTGTTTTTCCCGTCGCTTTTTTAAGCGACTTTATCGTGCAGTGCCAAGCAGACGACTCCTTTTTCATGTACTGCGTAAGTCTGAATTGGTTCTCCCGACTTTAAGTCCCACAATTTAGCAGTAGTATCTGTTGAAGCTGAAATGATATATTCGCTGTTATTAGAGAAGCAAACGTCCCAGACCCACCCGTTATGTCCGCTCAGTGTTTTTGCCAAACTATAATTTTGTCGAGTTTTCCAGATCTTAATAGTTCTGTCTGCAGAAGCGGTTGCCAAGTTCAACGTATTAGGCGAGTACTTACAGCAAGTGCAGTAGTTATTATGTGCGACAAACTCGTTGATTAATTTGACGTCGCCTATAGTCCCTTCACTTGTCATATTTGTTGTGTATATCCGACACTTCCCATGTGTTTCTAACACCGCAATTTGTGTTCCGTCTGCTGTTATATCAATTGATTGAATCGACTGATTCTCTACAGCGGGAATCTCTTTCTTGATGACCGAATTTCTCGTGTCCCAAAAACATACACGTCCGTCTTGTAAGCCTACTACTATCTCCGCTTGATTTGGATGAAGGGCTATACAATTACATGGCGACATAAAGGAAATGTCCCGAAACGTCGAACATGTCCGAGGCTCCCACGTCTTCGCTGTACCATCTTCACTACATGTATATATATACTGCCCCTCTCGCGATATCCCTATCCCAGTCACATTCCCTTTGTGCCCTTCATATGACTTTACGGGAGCTACCATTTTGGAGTTCAAATCCCAGATCTTCACTTGTGGATTCGAAGCAACTGCTAAATATGAACGATCTGGACTAATCACCATTTTGTTCATCGTTTGCTCAAAGGTTATCCGACGAAGAGGAACTCCAGTGGAAATATCCCAACAATTGATCACGTCGTCATAACCTCCCGTCATGAGAAGTGACGTCATTACTTCGGTGAATTTTTTAAGATGATTTTATTATTGAGTTCTTTTAACTATTGGTTCATAAATCGTTTTATAAATTTATGATATTAAACTTATAAACTTATAAATTAATTATTTATTATATTATTTTTAACATTTTTATTAATTGAATGGTTTTGATCTAATTGAAATTCAGAATTATGATTGAAAAACAATATGTAAATATCTTAATAAATTTACTTGCATCACGACATATCATTTTTTTATTTAAACAATGTATTAGTATGTATAGTATATTTTATTTATTTTTATAATACAATTATACTTGTAAATAATTAAAATGTATTAATAAAAACTATTAAAAATAATACAATTAAAATCAAACTGGAAAAAAAAAGAGTCATTAAATCTTTTTATTCCATAAATCAAAGATCGTTCAGATTGAATGGTTTTTAAGTGTTTTTTCACATAAAAACAATTTTTTTATGAACGAAAAATAACTTTAAGTTATTGATTTTCAGATATAAAAGACTGGGAATAAGAAACTTGTAAATTCAAAAAAACGATGGAAAACTTTTCTGATTTTATCTCGTTGAGTGTCCAAACAAAAGAAGCAATGAAACGATTAGAAAACGAATACAAAGTCTTTTCGGGCATCACCGAATCCTCACACATTATTCCAATAAAAAAAGAAACACAAAACAACAACATTTATTTTAAAGAAATGGAAAAGCATTATGATATAGAAGATGAAGTCTTCTTAAAAACTCAAATGTTTTTTGACTCAACAAACGAACTTAGAAAAAGCCTCAACTCCATTCTGGACTTCGTTGAGAAGTTACAAATCGAAGCAACAAACAGATTAAAGAAAAGTGTCTCAAATATGAATGGAATAGTCAATAAAATGATTGGGATCAAAGAAGAAATTTTCCTTGAACAAACACAAGATTTGCCAGAACAACGGATGGCTTCAGTGAAAGCTGCTTTCAACAAAGAGAAGGACGAGCTTGAGAAGATCAGGAAGACAAATCCCGCGGCTTTCTCAACGAGAAAAAGCAGCCAAATCGATTCAAATTATCAATTCCCAACTCAACAAAAAAACACAAACCGATACTGGCAGGGACAAGCCAAAGACACTTCTTCCCAACCTAAGCAACTCCCACAAAAACATTCACAACAAAGGACTTCTGATGCTCAATCCGATCAAAAACAACAAAGATCATATAAACCAAAGCAAGACAAGAGAACTCAATACAGTGGCGGGCAAAAGGGCCAACAAAATTTTGCTCTCTTCTAATTAATGATTAAAAATGTTCTTATTATTCGCTTTCATCAATTTCATTGAGTTCAAAGAAACTCAACAACTTTTCTTTGTATTGTTGCCAAACGCTCTTGAAATTGTCGTCAAATACCATCCCATCAAATGAGTAGACAGCGTTGATCGGCATTTCCTTTTTCATTATATCTGCAAACTTCGATGTCCTCTGTCCAATGTGATTGAGGATCACTACTTTGTTGTTGCAATTTTTCAAGTTCTCACAAACCATCTGAGGTGTTGAGTGTGACCTCCTGATAGCCTCTTCTTCCATCCCATCTTCAAAGTTGCACTCATGAACAACGTAGTCGGCGTCTTGGCACAATCGAGAGATTGCTTCGCACTGCGACGTATCCCCCGTGAAGACAATTTGTTGGTTTCCCACCTCGAATTTTACTGCATAATTTTCGCTTAAATGATTTGTCTTTCCGCTGACAATCCTCGCTCCCATCATTTTCTCAATCTCGTTCCGCATTTCTTGACTTTTCTCGTCATTTTTATCCGTTTCTGCAAAAATTTTGTTCAAAACAAATCTGCACCCCAATTGTTCTTTGTCACATATTGTTTCAACTGCAGTTTTCATCGATTGTGGGCCAATGATGAGTAAATTTCCCTGTTTCATTTTCAATAAACTGAAAATCCCGAACAAATGGTCGCCATGGCCGTGAGTTAAAAACAATAAATCAATCTTAGTTGGATCTATTCCACTTTCTATTGCGTGATACACAGCCGTTTCGCCACAATCAATCATAACTACTCTATCTGCAAATCTCAAAATACTCGAACTGACGTTTCGAGTTTTCCCCGGCACAGCACCCCCGGTCCCCAAGAGCATGACTTGAAACACCGAACCTGGCTGATAATTCAGACTCTCCACACAACTGTCGACAAAATTTGTCTCACGTGCGATGGGTATGACTGACGGTTTGGGGTATATCGTGAAAATTTGAAGTGAATTGGTTATAGTATCAGTTATAGTTCTTTTACTATTACTTATAGTTTCATCGGAAACGGGTTTAACTCGTAACTGTGCTGGGGCGTTGATGGGAAGGATCTTTCCCAGTGACGTGTGAAGAGCAAGTTGTGTTCTGTACGTTGTCTCGCAGACTGCTGATTTTGGGTCTATTGTATATGTCCGATCTAATAAATACATTGTAGTAATTTTACTATTAATTTTACTATACTCCTCAATGAGTGCCTTGAAGCGTTCATTTGCTTTCACCTCTTCACTCACGATACTAACTATTGCACACACCATTCCGACAAACTTCTTTTCTATATAAGCCTCGAGATGTGAAAGTGTTGGTAAGTGTAGAACTAATAAATGACCTGGGCAATAGTTTTCGCCGCACACGTCATTCTGCGTCACTAGTTTCCCGTTTTCAAGTTTGACGTTTTCGCCTTTCATGAGTTTTCCGCGGAGTGGTCCCGGGATTTTGAGTTCTGCTGCTTTCTTTGCGTCAAATTTTCCTAAAAACGTTGGAAGGGCAATGTGGTAACAAATCGTCTTTTTCGTTTTTGTTTCCAAAACGACGGGGTTGACTTTAAAATAGCCATCCGTCCACGTGGCGCTTTCTGTCGTCCACTCTGAAAAAATGTTTTGAAATTTGTCAAATGGCGGAAAGAAGTTGGTGTTTTTTAAGGTTTCAACAAAGGTGGACGAAGTGTGGAGAGGAACACTTGGAAACTCGGTTTCTTTTTTTGAGTGAAAGATTTTGTTTTTTAACTAAAATTTTTTCTAGTAAAAGTATTAAACATCAAAATGTGATATTTATAGTTTATTTATTACAACTAAATGGTACAACATTCTAATTTCAACTGATTGTATATGTAATACAATTATAATATAAATATAGTACAGTACAAACCGGAATAAGTCATGAATGCGCCAGGGAACCCTCCCCACGTTGAGTAATCGTCGGATGTCAAAAAGATTTTAGAGAGGCGTGGAAGCTTAAGTTTATATTCCATACAAGCTCGTTGAACCCCTTCGGGGATGTTAAAGAGGAAACGACTTTTTTCCATTGTCACTATAAAAGAGGGAGAAATCTCGGAACGACCATTCCCAAGAATTGTAATTGTTATTGCAGTGCTTTTTATTGGTGCAGCTTCTGACATTCTATTGAGTAATCGCACTATATTCCACCTTTTTATATCCTCTCACTTTATAAAAATATTGAGGCTTGTGTTTATGCGAACAAATAATAGTTTTTCTTACTAAAATAATTATTATCTTAATCTGAAAAATTCGTTATTATTGCTTTTTAAAAATGATTGATTTAAAATAATACTTTCTCATACTATAAGTATGGTTCATTTTTATAATAAAACGAATTTATTATTCTTAATATAACCATACAAATAAGAATAATTGTTAACACTTTCACAACCCAAAACTTTTTTTAAGAAGAAAAATAAGTAAAAAAGAAATTGTCCAAATCATTTTTTATTATTTTTATTCCAAAACCCCTTTCTAACCCAAACCGGCCAATAGTCAGTTTTATTTTACTTAAAATAATTAACAAATGAAAACTCAATTAACTAAGATTGATCAAAAATAATCTTTTTGGATGAAATTTCATATCGCATTATCGTGTTTCAACATTTTATATAAAAACGCTACATCGTCAATCCACTTAATGACAAACAATGTCAAATAGTCACATTAACAAATATAACGACAATATAAACACCAATATCGTTATAATCAAATGACAATATACTTTTTATAAAAAACAACCAAAAATATCAAACCATCATTAGACCCCATTTTTCTTTCTAATGCTTTGCTCTTGTTTAACACAAATAAACTCATTCATGTTTATTTATGTGACTATAAAATATACAATTCAAATTTGAGTTGATACAAAAAAAAATAAAAATTTTCAAAAATTTGTTTTGTGTATGAAGGCAAAAAAGGGTTTAGGTAAAAGAAAAAAATAAAAACTTATTATTATTACGTTTCTGTTTTGAACGTGTTAAACCAAATCTACCTTAAAATTTTTTAGAAAAAATATCTCCACTAAAAAAGTCAGAGTCTTTTTTATAGAAAAAACCTGATAAAAACAAAACGATAAATTACACTTCAAGATGGAACAAACACTCTCCACGAATCTTCAAAAGATCTTAACTACATATCCCCATCTTTCTTCCACATTAATTTCTGACACAGTGGATTTCTGTCTTTCCGCCACAAATGTTTTTTCTTTAAAAAATATTTTCCAATACAAAACAAAATGAAAAACAAAACTAATCATTAGCAGAAAAGTGTAGTTAACCAAATTGAACAATTCATTCGGATCGTTTGGCCATCGTATAAAATCATTTCAATTTTTTTGATTGACAAAATCTGCACGTCACCCGGTGACACACCGCGACGGTACAGTGTTGAGTTTTCCTACCGGATGATAGAAATCATCAAATCATTAAGTTGTTGCAAAGACAATCACAAGAAAGCCATTTTAACAATCATCCAGCAGTGGAAAAC